CACGCACACGCACACGCACGCACACACGCACGCACACGCACGCACACGCGCGCACACGCACGAACACGCACGCACACGCACGCACACGCACGCACACGCACACGCACGCACACGCACGCACACGCACGCACACGCACGCACACGCACGCACACGCACGCACACGCACGCACACGCACGCACACGCACGCACACGCACGCACACGCACGCACACGCACGCACACGCACGCACACGCACGCACACGCACGCACACGCACGCACACGCACGCACACGCACGCACACGCACGCACACGCACGCACACGCACGCACACGCACGCACACGCACACACGCACGCACGCCTGAGAGGGGGTAGATGTCCTGATTTATAGCAACCTTAAACGTGGATGGGCATTCGGCCTTCCCTTGAGGCGATCAGAGAAAGAGGCGCCGGCGACCTTGAGTTCTTTGCTACATCTGGGCAAAGAGAGCAGGCCGATAGGGTTTAGGGTTTGGGGTTTAGGGTTTAGGGTTTGGGGTTTGGGGTTTAGGGTTTAGGGTTTAGGGTGTCTGGAGCCCAGAGGGGTACCCTGAATCTTATATGATCCTTGCTGAACCCACCCTGAATCTTATATGGAACCCCAAGCATGAGGGGCCGCCTTACAACAGTCAGCCCGTGTAAGCCCCATAACGGATCGTATGAAAAGTAGCTTATACGATGAGTAGAAATATTAGGGGATTTAAGGGCAAAAGGGGAACCCTGACCCCTAAAAACTCTTCAGCCGGGGTTTGTGTGTCTGTGGGAGGCCTGTGGGCATGCCAGACAGCCCCCTCGCCTTGCCCAGTTGGGGGTGGGGTCCAACGGAGTACTGCCCTGGAACCTGAACCCCCCCAAAATAATCCTGGTTTAGGGTTTCGATTTCCGGGTTTGGCTGAAAAGCGAGCGGGTGGCCTTTTCTTTTCCGTAGGCGGTGGTTGGAGGGCGATCAACAGACCTGCTTGGCGCTGACCGCTGACCCTGATGGGTGTGGTACGTGCAGCGCGCAGCCTTTGGTTGCCAACTCACGTTGTCTCATTATGTGTTTTGTCGGGGGTGCCGGGGTTTTGAGACGGAATGCATGTTGCCCCTTTTGTGTGTCTTTACAGTCGTGGTGCTTGTGGATTCCCTGCTCAGTGGTTCGGCCACGCGGGTGCCAAAGAACCGCCAAAAGCTCAAAAGCTCAAAAGCCCAACTGATAAACTACCTTCCAAGCATGTGTGTGCTATTTTTCGGGTTTCTAGGCCAAGGATTTGGAGCATTTTCGAACCATAAGGGCCCCAAGAACCTTCAAAGTGCAGGTCTTCCTCACCCAAAGGGCCCCGCATCCGGATCCCAGAGTCTGGCCACAAGGACTGCGTAATATCAGATGATATTTTTAGGGTTTAGGGTTTAGGGTTCTGATATCAGATAATACCATTGAAGTTAATCTCGCAGAGGGAGAAACCGATATCGTAATACAATTAGCTCCGTCTTGCCGAGCTGTGTCTTGATAGGGCTTTGGAATTGGCCTGAAATGAGCCGAGGTCCGTCTCGGGATTGATAGGGCTTGCCGTGCATGCAGTTTTTTCACTCTTTCTCACGCGGGCGTGGCCATGCAGAGGTGCATGACTTTCTTGGAAGCACAGGGGTCCGACCTTGCATGCTGCTCCACACTTCCACAGGAGAAAGCGGCATCACTTCAGCAGCTCATGAAGATAAACAGGGAGTTGCTGAAAGGCGCGAACTCCGCGGATTGCATGGGGTTGCAGCCCCAAGAAGCATCATCTTCCTGAGAGGCGTCTAGGTGGATGTGGCAGGAAGTATTGGGTTCAGGCTGACTAAGGGTTGGCCATTTCGCATTCTGTGTGTTTCAGATGGAAGTCACTACTAGTATAGTGGAGTGATGAGATGTAGTACAATCAGTATACTCATCTGCCCGAATATGGTAGCATTGTTAAAACACTTAGTATGACCACGGTATACCATGAAAGATTGTCATAATTTAGTGGTATAACCATATGAGGATATAAGAATAGAACAGTGAAACTATATACGAAGACTCGGGCAATAAGCATAAAAGAGTAAATCCACATCATATTTTGAGAATGTGCCACTACAATAGAAGAATAGAGCAATCGAACAGAGAAGAACGTATTTCAAAAAACAAATAAAATAATCAAAGTGTGGACGCTGAAGTCGGTCAGAAGTGGCTTTGGGCCATGGGAGCCAAAGTAAGAATGCTTCCACTTTGCGGGCCAGAGCCAATGCGCCGTTGAACAAATCCTTGCACATAGGACATCTTACTATAGTGTTTGAGTCTCATATTCCTGTATTTCTCAAGCATCATAGTATCATGCGAGTATGCTATGATATCAGAACATTTTTTCATTCTTACATTTACTGTGGCTACCACTAATAATATTGTACGACTCTATTCCGAAAGTATTAAGAATTCTTGTATTCAGGCACCAAGCGCCCATCATCTTTGCATCTCGACTGGGGCTCCCCTCTTTTGGGCAGGCGTGAGAAAGCTGCTGCTCGCTTCAGAGATCGACCTCAGTCCTGGAATGGTCTGCCTGTGCTCGCTTGAGCAGCTGCGGAAGGGCGCGAGTTCAGGTTTGCAGCTTTCCCTACAGAGGTTTGCCTGAAGTCGACACCCCGTTCCAGCCGCCGCAGTTGTCCATGTGCCAGGGCGGGGGCCTTATCTCACCCGACTCGGAGCCTGACATGAGAGAGGACCGGGTCGTACATGTCTAGGCGTTAGAGCGTTTTTGGTTCCAGGGGGTGGGGGGGGGGTCTCATGAGGGCTGAGCATGGGTTGTAAATTAAGGGACAGGCCCTTTCGATCCCTGTCGCATGGCCCGCGTTGGGGCCCCCGCATACAAGTTCGGGGCTGCATAGCGCTGTTGGTGTGGTTGAATGGTATTTCGTGCGGGTGCACAGGGATGACAGGGGTCATGGGAGCGTCTCCCTTTTTCGCCCAAAGCCCCTAAAGCAACAGATTGGGAGCCACCAAAGTCCATGCGCCCATGAAGTATTTAGGGTTTAGGGTTTAGGGTTTAGGGTTTAGGGTTTGCTTGAGGTACTTGAGAGAGACCTCTTTCAAAAGGGTTCAAGGGTACTGACGCCCTAAAGCTACGGTGTGGGAACCCTTTTAAGGCCCAAGTATTTGCCATGGGGGCTTTGCGCGCAATGAAGGTCTTCAGGATAAGTTAACATGTTCCCCTAGTATGGCCCCTGACCTTTCTGAAGTATGGGAGTTTAGGTACATGCGGGGTGTATGAGGGTTCCCCAAACAAGGGCCCATGTGACCATGTAAGCACCCTTCGGACATGCCCCACAACCTGCTGCCTCCATGTTCTGGGCTAGGGACACCGGGATGCCTGAGCGCCATTGCACCCGAAACCCTAAAACCTAAACCCTAGTAACCCTAGTAACCCTAAACCCTAAACCCTAAATTCTAAACCCTAGCTGGACCATCCTCTAGGTGGGATGAGGCAGGTAGTAGCTGCATCTTCATGTCGCTGGGGAGCCCTAAACCCTAAACCCTAAACCCTTAACCCTTAGACTCTAAACCCTAAACCCTCCGTTGACGGGCGTTGATGGTCAAGAAAGTGAAACAGTACAAGTAGCCGCTAGCCCACCCCATGCCCGTGGTGACCCCTGCACTCAGGACAACGCCCTCAAGTCCTATTATGGGCGGTTTCCTAGAATAGGGGGTTGCCCTTGTTTTGGGGGTTCCGATGAACTTTATGAGCCCCAGGGGGTGTCGGGTACGATTCAAGGTTTACAGGGTTAGGGAGCTCCTGGTAAGACCTTGGGATGTTGTATTTCTCTTATGGGGCTTGGGGCTTAGGGTTTAGGGCTTAGGCTGCAACAAGGGCTTGGTGGATTTTAGGAGGTTTAAGGGGCTTAGTAGGCCTCCTAGCCCCAGACACGGTTCAGGGATTCTCATTGGAAGGTTGGACACGCGGATTCCTGGGTGAGGCACAGCAGAAGCAGCCAGAGCGGCTCGGTCCATGTGAGCTTTGGAGTTTGTCGGCTAAGTAGTTTGGTAAGTAAGCCCCAACCTTTCTGGGGAGATTTTTGCGGGTGCAGTTGTGTCGTTCCCTAGGAAACCGGACAGGTGAGATGGCCAAAGCCTGCTTGGAGGTTCATGGGTACTTATTGCGTCTAAGCAAGGTTATGAGTAGGGCCACTATTGTTATATCCTTAATTATTAAGGGTCTTTATAACCTTACTTGTGTGGGTACCCTCCAAGTACCTCGTGGGCCCTCGAAGTGTTGACCGAGGCAGCCTTGGATTGATGGAAAGGGGTCCATCCTCGCCAACAGTAGCAGCAGCCACTCTGGCTGGAGGCAGTCAGAAGCTTGGGGGTGGGGGGGGGTGGGGGGGGATGCTGGAAATGGTGACGGTGGTGGTGACGGTGGTGACGAGGTGATGAGCCACGACGACGATGACGACGACGAGGATGTTAATGATGATGAGGGAGCGGGAGGGGGCGGGGAGGAGGAAGAACATGATGGTGATGACGATGATGCAAGCGACGGCGGTGAGCGCGCCGCCAAAACGATGAAGATTGCGACGGCGCCAACGACCGATGATGATGATGATGATGATGATGATGATGATGCTGATGCTGATGCTGATGCTGATACCCTTGCTGATGCTAGTGTTTTTCTGTCATGGCCGATATGAGAGTGATGATTATTCTCACTTTGTAGCACCTGTGGTTTTGCATCTCGTGCATCTAAAGGCCTTGGTTTCGGGGTCGCGGGTTGTTGGCTTGGAAGGGCGTACGGGGCTTGTGAAAGTTTAGGGTTCAGCACCTTGGCTTGACCAGGAGTCCGCGGAGGTAGCTCTGCAACACCAACGCCTGCTCAAGGACTGCAATCTCGTGACATTCGCGAGTTGTGACGTTCGCGAGACGGGGTGTCCTCCAATGCAAGAGGCACCCCGTAGTTTCCAAACTGTCTGGGTTGTAGTGGTCTTGGTTGCATGGTCATGCACTTGGCCCTGAAGCGCGCGCTTCAGAAGGCCACACCGAGCATCAGTCAAACTTCGTGGCTTAAGAGCGCACGAAGCAAACCTACATGCTGCGAGCATAGGCTGCACATGCTTAGGTGATGTAGCGATTGCTGGGCAAAGCCCAGCACGTGGAAGGCAGGCGTTTCACGATGCTTTTGAAAGTACCTGCTCCCCTGCAGGCACACCCTGAATCTCGATGTAGGGTTTAGGGTTTAGGGTTTTCAAGATTTGGTTTTGGCAGTGGTCCCGAAGCAGCGGTGAATTCGCCAAAGCGGCATGCGAAAGACCAGGCAAGCTACGTTATCTGCTGTCCAGGATGCTTGTCCATTGGAGGGGAGCACAGATTTTCACCTGTTTTCACCCGCCGAAACACAGGCGAGCCAGCTGCACCCCCCAACATGGTGATGTTCAACATATCAACATCTCCAGGAGTTGCAGAGTCTACGTCAAAGGTCTGAGTTACTGTTGGTTTTGATATGGGAGTGCAGGGAAAAGAGCCGGGGCTCGTGGCAGACGCCAACAAAAGGGGACTCACAGCCTACTGCAGGTGCTCCGAAGCCAAAGCGCTGAAGCCCTTTCATTAGCAGGCCATGAGCCACCATGAGCCTGAACCCCTCCTAAGCTGCCACGGGCGGCACCCTAAACCCTAAACCCTAGACCCTAAACCCTGATCCCCTAAACCCCCAAGCCCCAAGCCCCAACCCCCAACCCCCAACCACCCCCAACCCCCAACCACCCCCAACCCTAAACCCTAAACCCTAAGAAGCCCCAACTCGAAACCTGGAAGCCCCGAAGTGATATCCCTTCTTGCCTGCTGTCAGGGCCGCCTGGGAAGAAAGAAGGGCCCGTGGGACAGGCCTGGCCCTGGGTCTGAATAATCCCCTTCCCCTGATATTAAACCCCCCCCTACCCCCAGAATATGAAAAAACGCCAAGAAACTATAATATAACTATAGTGGGGGGGGGGGGGGTGTTTCATATTAGGGGGTAGGGGGGGGGGGTTTTAATATTAGGGGGAGGGGAATAGGTACTTGGAGGTTCATGGAGACTTATGAGTAGGGTGATAAGTGTCCTAAATGAGGTTAAGCTAAACCCATAGCTACGTACCATACGCATAGCCCTACTTGCAAGTGACCATGAACCACCAAGTATGGTTCCCCTATGTTCCCCTGCAAGTCCAGGTCTTGCGGTGTTGGGTTTAGGGTTTAGGGTTCCGCTCTTGAAAGGCATGGCTTCGTCTCAGGCAGGCAGTGCAGCAGTCCTAGCCGCAAAAGAACAGCAATGGTTATGTACCTTATCAGCCTTATCATTCGTAGCGTTTGGGAGAGCAGCCAGCAGCCGAACCTCATGAAACTTGAGCGCCAAGCGCAAACTCATCCCTAAACCCTCCACCCTCCACCCTAGCACCCCAAACTTCCAGAGCGGATTGGGATTAATATGCGGAATCCTACGGGTTCCCTAAACCTGAATCCCTACATCCCAAACCTGCATCCTTAATTCCATCCGAAACCACAATCAGGGATCACAGGGAGGGAGGCGGTTACTGAGGTTGCTACGGTAACCCCCCCCCCCTCCCCTTTTTGTGCTCCAGGCCTCACGCTGCCTTAAGTACACCATGGTTCCTGCAGCATTGTTACTGTTGTGTGCACTTGCTTACTCTGATTAGCAGCAGTATCATTCTCCGGTATACTGTCGATCATGTGATTCATATTTTAAACTTTTAACCCTAAATCCTGAACCCTGAACCCTAAACCCTAAACCCTAAACCCTAAACCCTAAACCCTAAACCCTAAACCCTAAACCCTAAACCCTAAACCCTAACCCAGCATGATTTGACAAGTTCGAACTTTCGAAGCGTCGAACGCATGCTTGCCCAGCTCCAAAGCTTCCAGGACCACGCTGAGAGGATTCAGGCCAGGGTTTAGGGTTTAGGGTTTAGGGTTTAGGGTTTAGGGTTTAGGGTTTAGGGTATTCCCACCCAGCCCGTTTTATGGGGTTTACCGGCTTTCTGGCCTGATGGGGTTTACAGGGAAAAGGCCTCGGGAAGGCTTGACTGGCTTGGCTCAAGAGTGAACGGCTGTAGCACTGTCTGAGCCTGGCGGAGAGGGGAAGGGTCCCTATATAAACCCTAAACCCTAAACCCTAAACCCTAAACCCTAAACCCTAAACCCTAAACCCTAAACCCTAAACCCTAAACCCTAAACCCAAATCTCTGTGCGCGTGGAGAACTTGTGTGCGTGGCTCTCTTCCTGCTGCAGTTGTTTGGGGTTGCATCGTTCTCTTGCAGACAACGGGACATCGAATCTGGCTATTTGCCGAATCCTACTCGAAAGTTCATGGGTATTTATCAGTAGGGTTAGAAGTACCCTGCATAAGGATATGACCATTGTTGCCCTTCTTAGAACCATACATATAAGTGCCCATGAACCTCCAAGTAATTCCTAAGCCAGGTAGGCTCTTCAGAGGCTTAAGAAAAACTTCCTGTTCTAGAGTTTCAGAGCATTCTGTTTCGGAATATTCTTCCTCTTGGCTTCTATGGGCCAAGCCCTGCTAGTGGCAAGGTCTGCCACGGACCTTGCCACGACTACGAGCCCATCCGCTTCTTGACAGAGTCGGTCGGCCAAGAGGCCCCTCGTAAAGGGTTTAGGGTCTAGGGTCTAGGGTTTAGGGTTTCGGGTTTAGGGTTTCGGGTTTAGGGTTGGGTTTTGGGTTTAGGGTTTAGGGTTTAGGGTTTAGGGTGTAGGGATGCCCCCGAAGAAGACTGGAGCCTGAATTACGGAGTTGCCAAGAACTCTCCCCTCATAGTCCGGCAAAAAATATTACATAATATACAACAAACAACTATGCAAATATAGATACTACATATAGATATATATATATATGTATGTATGTATGCATATTTTTTGGAGGGGGGATGTTAAGGTAAGCCCTCAACCCTAGCCCAAGACTTCAAGAACCTTGAACCAGAGGCCGCAGCATGGTGTAGGCATGCAGTACAGGAGCCTAAGCAGCCACGAGTATCTCCTCATACGTCCTCGATAGTGATAGTAGAAAGTCCTCTCCAGCGGTTTGTTCACGCGCGCCGCGCACATGTCGTTTACATCGGTATTTGCAGTGTTTCGTGTGGGTGACATACAACGGTGGGCGCAGTGTTTCGCACCTTTGTTACCTTCGCCTAGCATCGGTATTTACAGTGTTTCGTGGTGCGGGTCACAGGCTAAAAACAATGTAAGAATTGACGCAGCTGCGGTAAAAACCGATGCGGCTGGACAGACTTGGCCAGCACGATGATTACGTCGGTGTTACCAGTGCATGCGAATGGCCAGAGCATCCCACGATGACTACGTCCGTGTTGCCAGTGCGCGCCAGCACGATGATTACGTCCTTGTTGGCAGAGCGTGCGAACCGCCAGAGCATCCAAGCCCGCACTACCGCAATGTGAAGCATGATGGAAAGTGGTTATTTTGAAGAGCCGACGCGTGGGAGGCGCAGCGAATCTGAAACTCTATTCTCAGCTTTTGAACACGGCCGGTGCTTGCGCTGGACCATGAAACCATTTGGTGCTTGCCCTTGACCTTTTTGAGGACCTTCGGTATGAGGACCCGATTGTTCTTATAACTTAAGGAGAGAGTCATCCTTGAATGGATTGGAATTTGGGTTTCGGGGGGCTTTAAGTTTCGGGGTTTTTGGTGATTTCCCACATCTCGAGGAACCCATACATAGAATATTTGAGGAACCATACATAGAATATTTGAGGAACCCATACATGGAATATTTGAGAACCCATACATAGAATATTTACGGGATCATGTTTAAGACAGCTTTTGGGCGCCCGTTTGGGGGCCTCCTGCAGGCCTCTTGGCGTCTTGGTTTCTTGGCCCTCGCGTCTTCTTAGGGTGGAAACTTGTCTGGGTGCCTATCTTGGCCCCTAGGAAATATTCTATCTATCGTTTTGGTTGGAAATATGCTACCTATCATTTTGGAAACGGTGTTTATATTTCCGGGATTTCAAATCTTCTATCTACTTAAGGATGCCTAGTAAAAATGTGGCCACGGCTGCTGCTATGATTTGCATTGCTCTACAAGTTCCTGCTCTATCCACAGCTAAGGGAAGAGTAAGACGACGAAGAAGACGAACGATGACAATAAAAAGAAGGAAGCTCCATGGAGCAACCCCTCCCGCTTTGTGTTGCTGGAACTCAGCAATGTCTCACCACCTAACAAACTTTGGACACTGTGCTTCACCTGGTTCGCTGGATTTGTGGGTGGCTGCTTGAATAGGGTGTTTGACAGTACTGGTGCAGAGGACGAGTATCAGCGAATAGGTCTTGCAAGCATTGTTCGGAATCCCAAAGCAGAGGTACTGCAGGGCAATGGGCCACTTGTATGCTGCGAGAGTAGCATTGCACGAGGTCTCAGTGCTGAATGCTGGCAGATACAAGCAAGCGACTGAAGCCCTGAAGCACCAAAGGCCCAAAACTCTGAGCCCCAAGAAACGATGGCAAACTCAATTGCAGATAGCAACAGACATCATTCGTGGCCCAGTAGACGGTGCTATTTGCAGGCCAACAGCTAGGCTGGCTAGGGTCTGTCCCGAGCTCTCTCGGCGCTTGCTTTGTTCCGCCGCCAGCCCCCTTGCAGAAGCCAGGATGGCACCTCAAGCCCCGAAACCCTAAACCCTTGAAGCCTTCAAGCCTTAAAAACCCTGGAGTTTGGATCTCCAGAGGCGGCGCCTAATCGCCGGGATGTGATGCCGAGGGCTCATTGACAAGTCTTTTTCTGCTTCTCTAAGCTGCTGGGCCCTAGGGGTTCTAGGGGGTGTTTAGGGTTTTTCGGTCTTCGTCGTGGGGCTTCCTTTGTGAGGCGTGTGTTTGGCAGTCACTAAGTCCAGCCTAGGACTCAGGATGTAAGGGTTCTAGCCCCACCCATGAGCAGCTCCATGAAGAAGAAAGAAGAGGGCCTGAAGCACCCTAAACCCAAACCCTAAACCCTAAACCCTAAACCCCAAACCCCAAACCCTAAACCCTAAACCCTAAACCCTAAACCCGAGGGATGCCTTACCCGAGCGCCAGCTGAAGAGCTCAGGCTGTCGGGCTTGGGGTTCTCGGGTACTTTTTTCGCAGGGCTATAAGTAGGGTACAGTAGGGTAGTTCTGGTTGTAAGCTGATTGATTTTGGTTAAAAACTTATTTAGGGTACTTCTAACCCTACTTGTAAGTACCCAAGTGATAGCTCTAGTTATAACCTTATTTAGGGTACGTACTTCTTACCCTACTTCTAAGAACCCATGAGGCTCCAAGTAGGGTTTCACACGATACACAGTGTGGTAGTAGCCATCTGGTCCCTATGTTTAACAGGTTTGGGCGTCCTTATCCTGTTCGCGCGGCAGGTGGTTAAATGCCTAGGGTTTTAGGGCCGAATTTGGCTGAGAAGGTGTTGTCCAATGGCTCGTGTTGTGGTGATGCGAGAATCACGGTATGATCCTAAATTGAGGCTGTGGCACCCTCACAAACCCCGTCGGTAAGCCCAAAACTGAAGGGTCTCTTTGCGCATATGGTGGTTTCCCGAAACCCTGAACCCTAAAACGGGGCTCCTTTTGTGGTTCCTCTAACAAGACTTTTCGCATTCATTTGGGGGTGGGCTTGGTACCACTTTTGAGAATGCCCCAGTGAGAATAGTTAGTTGAGTCAGGAAGATAAAAACAATTCCATGGGCCTGTAAGCCCTGTAAAGCCTTTTAACCCTGCAAACCATGTAAAACCCACGAGCCCTCGAAACCCTATGACCCCTGCAAATCGTGTAGACCCTTTCAACCCTGTAAACCTTATAAATAGGTTCTAAGTGGGGTAACCATGGTTATTGCCTTATTGGGGTACTTAGAACCCTACTTTAAATACCCATGAAACTTCAAGTAACCCAAAACCCTAAACCCTAGGTCCTAAACCCTAAACCCTGAAGCAGGGCTAAGCCCCAGACCCAAAGCATGCTGGCTCGATGCTGAGGACGCAGTGGCCTTGGGAGGATCGGCTTCGTGGACCCTGCCAAGGTGGTGCTGGGTTTAGGGTTTAGGGTTTAGGGTTTAGGGTTTAGGGTTTAGGGTTTAGGGTTTAGGGTTTAGAGTCTGGCTGCAAGAGACCTCGAGGGTTAAGAGTCCCGAGATTGTGTCCGGGGGCAGATCAACTTGCGGCCGTGGGCACCTCAATCGTGTGTTCTCACAAACAATGGGTGGCTGTTGTTGTGTCCTACACTCTAGACCAGACAAAGCATGAGCAGCTGAAGATCGACGTTCCGTCAGAAATGTGCACGTACTGGTGCTGCGTGTGTGCCCCTGCAGTGTGATCCAGATCTACGCCCCTAGACCTTCAACCGGCGAGTTTAATGTGCCCCCAACAAGGTGATAGCTTATACCCATAGTGAATACTTAAGCCTGAAGAATCCCTAAACCCTCTCAGACTCAGAGACAGCGCCGAGTAAACCCTCTAAACCCTAATTCCTAAACCTCCAAGCAAATCACCACCATGGCAGGGTGTGGAACTTCGCAATTCCTCGTGGCCGCATGCCAGGACGGGCCTAAACCCTAAACCCTATAAACCCTGTAAACCCTATAAACCCGATAAACCCTATAAACCCTATAAACCCTATAAACCCTATAAACCCTATAAACCTTATAAACCTTATAAACCCTATAAGCCCTATAAACCCTGTAAACCCTATAACCCTAGACACCCTATAAAAACCCTACAAACCCTATAAACCCTATAAACCCCATAAACCCTATAAACCGTATAAACCCTATAAACACTATAAACCCTATAAACCCTATGAAACCTAAACCCCTATACACCCTACAAACCCTACACACCCTATAAGCCCTATAAACCCTAACCCTACAAACCCTAAAACCCCCTCAACCCAAACCGGTCACTGTCGACCCCTTAGAAGCAAAGTCTTCCTGGAGTTGCAAAAATGCAGAGTTTTAGGGTTTAGGGTTTAGGGTTTAGGGTTTATCCACCTAGAGAGGCCAATGTTAATACCTCTGAATTTCGGCAAGGACGCCTGACTGAAGAAGAGCCCTTATCATAAGTACCCATACGAACCTCCAAGTAGGCAAGGTCTACTACTTCACGACACTACCTGGGCTCTCTGGGCAAGTATGGGACACTTCAAAGCCCCTGACCGGAGGGCTGTGGCGCCGAGTACTGCGGCCACGTGTGCCTGCGCAAGTCCCTGGTGACCCACCTGCGTTTTTGCCCGGCCAGAGGCTGGGCCTGTATCCCCCTTGGGGAATTATTTTGTTTATTTTGGTTTATGTAAAACCCAAGAGGATATGAAACATATTTTGTTTAGGAAGGTTCTAAGGGGAGTATAGGGGCTGGTCGATTTGCACGGGCTTTTTTTTGGTAGAGGCGACTTGAGGGAGTTTGGACATGTTGATGTTGTCGGTGTCGTGCCGATGTCGCCGAAGCAACCCTAGGCCCTAAGCCGCTGGTTCAGTTCTAGAAGCATCTGAGCAGCAAGAAGCTCCACAGCGTCGTAGTTGTAGCAGGCTGCTTGGTGCTGCCTTCTCTGCGTGCGCAGGCTAGCTCCTGCTGCGAAAGGGGCCCGAAGAAGCGCTGACCACCGGCGCACAGTTGTTTTTTAGTTGGCTGCAGTGGAGGGCTGCGCATGTTCTGTCGCGCTGCACCCATCTGTTGCCAGTAATTCATGGCCGATTTCTGACAAGGTACGCCAGCATAATGCCCAACAAATCCAGACAGATGGTCTTAGATGATTGAGCAACCTATCGTCGTTTCAGCACAGTTGATATGCTAGAGTTTAGAGCCAGGTAGATGATCATGCGGAGTAGGGTGGTATGCAATACAGTAGTCCTGATTGCGCAGAAAGCTGGCTTAAGCTCTCGGCCCTGCTCAGCGATGTTGAAGGGTCGTGAATTCGTTGAGAAACGGTGCCTCTTCGATCTGTGCTGCTCTCCTAGACATTCCTTGCTATCCCACGAACTAGCAGCCTCATGAGGAATCGGACTGCATTCCGTCAGATTCAGCAGACACCGGCGCAACTAGTGGATGGAGAATTTGATTTGACTGTAATCCAGCCGTTCCGAACCGTGACGATCTGTATGCTCTGCGGACAAGGCTTGTGCCTTTTTGCAGCTGCAAAGATGGGACCTGCGCTGCGCTTCATACTTCTCTTGGTTCACTATAAGCGCTGCAAGCAACACAGCAGTCTGCCGATAGCGCCGCGCCGAGTCAGCCTTTCGCAAGAGCCATTCTGCTCCAAGTCCTGAGGCCTCACCACGCTGCAAGCTTGCGAAGCGTGCAGAACACCGCAAAATTCCTCCAAGTCGGAAGTCTCCGTCAGGGCTGAAAATGCTCTTGCTGTGCTTTGGACAGGGATGCATTAGGGACCGAAGGCAAGAGATGTTGCCTAAAGTAGGGATCTCAGAGGTTCAAGGGTTATCTGCATCCCTGGCAGTCGAAACATCTGCACTACCCCCACGGAGCTATGTGCCATGCTGCGTGGCTTTCCTCCGAGCCGGCGCCAACTCGTAAGGCCGCTTGAAGTCTCAAGTCGTTCTGCGGTAGGAGAGGCATTCTTGAAGCTTCAGTGTGTCAAGCGTTTCCTCCGACGAACTGATGAACCACAGCTATCACCAATGCGATCATCCCTACAGAAGCCTAAAACCCCTAAACCCTATCGTTTCGCTCTGTTTTTGCATTGTTGCTTTATGAGGTGGGTCGGTATGCACTTATCGAGGTCAAGAGGTGACATGTGGGCCTTCGGAGCTTCGAGGTTGATCTGTAGCTCCAATTACCGATTGTCGTATCTAGACTGGTCCTAAACCCTAAACCCTAAACCCTAAACCCTAAACCCTAAACCCTAAACCCTAAACCCTAAACCCTAAACCCTAAACCCTAAACCCTAGACCCTAGACCCTAGACCCTAAACCCTAAACCCTAAACCATGGAGGCTGGCCATTTCGGCATCAAGCAGGCGACGCAATCGATCGCAAGGTATGGGCCACTGCCCGAGATGGCTCCTCGTGGGTAACGCGCATCGGGCGTTGCATCAGGTGCACTCCCTTGCTTGATGGTAAGGGGGCTCCGCCGTGAGGCAGTTGTATACTTCAACATCTCATCATGTTCGTGGGGCATTATTCTACATATTGAATGGGTGGTTAAGTTCACCAAATACCACATTATGAAAAAATGTTGGTATCCGAAGTCGGGGGCAGGTTGGTATTATCTCTCCGCACGACGTAGAACCTGGGCAGTTTGAATGGCAGATCCTGTGCTGAGGCGTCAGGGCCTGTGGACCAACGTCCTGGCCGAGCTCGAGATCTTGCGCAGGAAGCCTACAGGAGCAGTTGCTGCCGAGACCGGACGGGTGCCTGAACACTACTACTCAGTACTACTGTTTAGTATTGGTTTTCGTGAAGTCGGATACATGTAGTCCCGACAAGACTTGTACTTTCGACGGGATGCCTTGGGCGAACTGCATGGACATGTTCCCTCAGCTGGCGGTCACTCCTGCAACTGGCTGTTACAATGTTGTGTGCCGCGCCCTTCTCCGGTTTATGCTTGATCTCCTCTTCCCTGAGGCTGTGAAGTACATGAACATCGCGTGCCAGAGTGTAGGCTAAAAACAGCATCATTGAAGCACACCAGGCGGAAGAAAAGAAGCCTCTCAAAGCAAATACCATAGATTTTTAGGCATTCCTTGACACATGGCGGGCCACGAGGAGTCTGGGCTTCAAGGATGCAGGTCCATGCTGCAGGGCATCCTGAGGCTGCTTCGGAACCCTCTCAAACTCCCAGCCGTCGACGATGAGCGCCCCTGGTTGTTTCCCCTGCAACCGGTGTCTGCAGATGAAGATGAGGAGCAGCTAGGTACCATGCCAGGGAGGGCGGTGGGCCTGTCCTGCCGAGCGAACGTGGAGGCTCTGGACTTGAAGCTCTTCTGGAAGGGGCAGGGGCAGCTGAAATGCATCTGCTTGCTCATGACGAAGGAGGGCAAGTACATTCAACATGTTTGGGAAGGTGGGAGCCGCTCTGCGGGCATCCGGTACCGGCCACACCACCCGCGATGCTCGCAGGATGCTGGCGTTGGTGCTGATGAGGAGGATCTCTCACAGTTGGACACGGTGCTGGGGGACAGCATTTCCTTGGACCTTGGCCGCTTGGATGAGAACGTCTTTGCGTGCCTCTTCTCCTTGGCGGGAACGGATGAGGGCCTGGGTTTTGCTTCTGATGATGCGCTGATGCAGTTCAGGGAGCTCACGATGGCGCTCTACTCAGCCAGCAGCCAGGAGATGATTTTCAGGTATCGCCAGGGATGCTTGCGCAAGGAGTGCAACATCCTCACGAGCCTTTGCCTCTACCGTGGGCCCCATCAGACATGGCGGCTGGAGCCAATGCGTCTCCATCTCTATTCCATGCCTGCCAACAAGGTGGGTGTTGATCCAGGCTTTGCAGCTGAGGAGATTCTTGGTAGCCCAGTGGTGCCCTTTTCCCTTTTTTTGGTTCAAGGCTCCCTTAGCCAACCCCAAAAAGGGTGCCCCTAGTATAATATGGCTACTGGGCTACCAAGGATTGCACTTTTCGTCGCTAACAAAGTACGATGGCTGATCAAGGACCGCTGTTGGAAAGTGGCGCGTGAGGAGCGAGGTCTACAGCTGTCAGGTAGCGAGATGCGCTGAGCCATCATTCTGAGCCGGATCATTGCAGCAATTAATGTTGTCTAGGACCCAGACTAGGCCCTTGTTCCCCTTCTGGTCTAGGTTACCTTCTGAATTCAGCCCCTTTAAACCCCACCCTAAAAGAGGGTACCCTTGTACATGCCTGAAGTTCTGCTTGAATTGCAAGCAAAGCAAACAGCGGCCAGGCAGAAGCGTAGGCTTGTTCCGCTATAGGCAGGGCCTCAGGATGCCATACCTCTGAAAGGTGGAGTTTAGGGATGCGCAAAAAGAGCAGGTTTCGGGTTCAGGGTTTAGGGTTTAGGGTTTAGGGTTTAGGGTCTAGGGTCTAGGGTCTAGGGTCTAGGGTCTAGGGTCTAGGGTTTCCCACACCTAGCATCTGGAGGCCCTGGCCTGAGCCACCCGATTTTTGCGCCTGTGGATGCTTGTCTACCCGCGCACGCGGATGGTGGCGTGGCCGTTTGTCTTGAATTTCTGCGGGCTGGCTGCTCGGCTACCCGTGCAGCGGAGATGCCCTTCTTCAGGCAACTCTCATGACAGGGCTGCTGTGCATCTAGCTTGTGAAGCCTTTGCCCCAAAGGTCGGGTTCATGTCGGGGCGTTGCATGCAAATGGACCTCTGCTGCAACTGAGCAAAGTGGTGTGAGGCTGCTGTAGGGACTCTCAACCCGACGTATGGCGCTTGCCGAGGTCAGAGCAGTTTGCAGCCGGACGCGGTCGTCCCGCCCTTACTGGGTCTAGGGCTTTGGGGTGTTGAATCACGAAATGTACTTCTTACAGTCGCAAGAGCCCTTTACTGCAACTTAAATAAAGGATATTAAAGTACATGTCCTGATGTACGTGTTACTAAACAAATTTGACTTAAAAACATATCAAAGGTATATTTCTTAATTATAAGGGGGCCCTCTGGGAGTTTAGGGCTTAGGCTTAGCCTGCTCGAAGGGGAGTTGCGAGTTTCGAGGGTCACCTTCAGATGCCCAGTTCTCCTTACATATATCTATATGTGTGCTGTATGTATGTAGTGCCTGATATTATGTATTGTGATTCATAAAAACATCTTTGTAGAAATCGAACTAGTTATATACAACTATACATAAATAAGTACATATATATATATGTATATATGTGTGATATTTTATGAAAGTATGTGTTGTACGTATACGTTTCATCCGCGATGACAGGCAAGCAACGCTTGCGTGAACGGGCCGGGGGGCCGAGAGCTGTGAAGGATGCTAAAAACTCCTGAACACATCAGAGACCCCCCTAAGGGTTTAGGGTTTGGGGTTTAGGGTTAAGGCTTTAGGGTTTAGGGTTTAGGGTTAAGGTTTTGGGGTTTAGGGAAGCTCTGGGCGCCCATGAGGGCAAATCGCACTGCAGCCCCTCCTCAACAAAAAAGGGAAGCTCTAGCGAAAGTCCTTAAAATGACAGTTAGATCCTAGGGATAGGCATTACGGTTTGTAGTTGCAAGGGCTAGAGTGATGGAGAACATGTTGTTGGCAAAATCGAAGTTGCATTTTGAGAGACGTTTCTGGGATTACTTCGAGTTACTTGGCGCCAAGTTCGCATGTTTGGATGGCGCCCATGGCCGTGCCTACCGCTTTCAATCAAGCTGCCTTACCTGCAAAACAACAACAAAGACCTAAAATCCCCTACTTAGCTCCTTTAAAAACTCTCAAACTCTGAGTATGTTGCTAGGTTCGGATGTGCGTGAGGGTTTGTGAGGTGCGCGCGGAACTGGAGGAAGGCTGCCGGAGCCCAGGCAAAGTCGAGGCTGATGGCTATTTTAGGGTTTAGGGTTGAGGGGCTTCAGACAGTTGAGGGGCTTCTGCGGAACGAAGATGCTCTTGAGAAGAGGTATGTACTTGGAGGTTCATGGGTACCTTTTCGTAGGGCTATATGTAGGGTAGCCATGGCTATCGCCTTATGAAGGGTGTTTTTACCCTACGTTTTCTGTACCCATGCCTTCAAAATGGGGGCTGCGGAGAAGGCAGGGGGGGTTGGTTTTGGAAGTGCTGCGCCTAGGCCGTCCTGCTGGAGCAGTCTTCCCAGGATCGCTTGCGCCGGGATGTGGGCCCCTCAGATTCAGATGCCGCGGGGGGGTGCTTTCTTCGATTTTTGCGGTTTGTAGGGGTGTCTTATTCAGAAGATGAAGATCCCAAACTAGCAGCTCAAAAGGAATATCGTACAGGCGTGCGGTTTGCCACCCTGGACAATTCCGCAGAGGTCTAGGGCTGCGGGAAAGTTTTGTTCGGCTGTTTCTCAACTAAAGCCATGGATGAGCAGTAGGAACATCAATGGGCCCCAGCATATGTAATACATACACACCGGTTTCAATGAAACACAGTGCTAAGCCTAACCTGAACCCTGAACCCTAAACCCAACCCCAAAAGACCCCAAAGCCCTAAGCCCTCTGGATGAAGCAGTTGCCAAGGGGACTTCGATGAGTAAACGACCAGCCCTCTTCTTCAACAACCTGAAGCTTTCAAGATAATCGGATGCCCAGAACTGACCCTCAGGAACGGGAGGGGGGGGGAGGGGATGTAAGTACTGGATGATTTTCGACACTCAACTGCCATTAGGTCACTGGCAGTGGCTTAGTAAGCCGGTTAGGAGGCTGAGTCAGGCGGAACCTTCGGATCCCTGGTGCGGTCACTGGCGCAACTCCCCAGTCTCCGCAGCAAAGAGTTGAACTCGCCCCTGCAACCTTTCGATTGCGGCCTCTTTCCCCTAAACCCGGTTCTGATTTTTACAGGGTACCCCTAAACCCCTGAACCCCAAAACCCCAAACCCCAAAACCCTAAACCCTAAACCCTAAACCCTAAAAGGACATTGTTGTAGAGAGCTGAAGGCCTTCAGCTTCTCCGCGCTTGTGAAGGGACTCCGCGAAGGACTGTGCCGGTCTGGGGGGGGCGTGTAGGGTTTAGAATCAGAGTAGTTCTTCACAAGGAACTTTTTTGGAAGCCCTATCCGGAAAGCCTGGGGTTATTTGCAAACAAGCTCTTGCAGAAGGGCGGAAAACTTTGACAAGCATCCCTCATGATCGTCCCTCAAAGGATAGGGTTGAAAGTTTACTGCACCAGGGGTTTACGTCGCTGGAGATTGTTGTTGAGTCGGCCTTGCTAGCATTCCATACACACCTCACCCGAACCTCCCAAGGTCTCCGTGAGCCCAGGGTTGAACCAGTATCAGAGTACTTGGAGGTTCATGGGTACTTGTAAGTAGAGTTATAAGTAGGGTACCTATGGTTAGAACCTTATTTAGGCGTACTTATACCGGCCCTACGTAGAAGTACCCATGAACCTTCAAGTAAACATCCAGACCATGCCCTGCATTTAGCTCCTACACGCCAACCTGATTCTTTAGGCGGCACGGAAAGTGGTGCGCATGGCGGCCGTAAATCATTATTAGAAGTAGTAGGCCGTCCCCTCCGGGAATAATCGGGTCTTGGGTATCGATGCCCTGGCTTTTGGGAAAAAGGGTTTGGGGTTTTGTGGGTTCAAGGGTTCGGGTTTGGTGTGGCTTGCAGGCTCAGCCCTTTGCCGGTTCAGCGTTAGGTGGCAGTTCTGTTGCGCGAATGGACATGCATGCCTGTGTCAGGAAGCGACTGGGCCATCGGCTCAGCGTCCTTGAGTCCCCTCCGGAAGGGTCCAGCAATACTGTACTGTCATAGGGTTTAAGTTGGGATGTTCCCCCTTATACCTAACAGTCCTTAATAGGGACTGTAGTAATCCCGATTATGATCCCTATATGGGCTGTTGGTATAAGAGGGAACATCCCATGTTCAAGGTTTAGGGTACAGGGCTTTGGCATGCCCTAAGGCACGTGCCTGCGAGTCATTGACGGAGGCCGCCGCTTTCAGTGTAAGGAGATGAGGGTAGTTTGTTGGACGCCGAATACAAATCAGGGCCCCTTTTTGGGTACCCATTATAAGGCGGCACCCTTTTAACTAGTATCCCAAAAAGGGACCATAGTTTTGACAACCACCCATATACATCACTGAGGCTTCTGTGCTCGTCTGCGCGCTGCAAGAAGTGAGCACTTTTGGAGAATGGCCCACAAAGCTCGGTTCGACGGATCATGGCGTAGGGGCTCCCTCATGCAAGTTACGTGCCTGCAGCTGATCGGATGCCTGTGGCTGAGAGGCCGACACCGCTGCGGTCTCCAAGGCGCGGTCCCCAGAACTGAGGCTTGCCCAGAGAACCTATGAGTTGACTAAATACGTAAGAAATACGAGACAACGACAAAGTATATGCACAAACATACTAAACCCTCAAACCCTGAACTGCGCAAGTAATGTACCCCTCAATCCTATGCGTGTAGGTCTATTTTTGAATTCAGGGGTACTGGGCTCCCTTTGGCACTCAGCCTTCCCGAGCCTCCATGGCCCGTGATAGTGCACTTGAATTCGCCTGTGCCCTCGAAATCCCTCGATCGGGCCGGCCGCATGCCCAGGAAGCTTACTGCCCCCCCCAATTGAGGAATATGCCTTAGTTCTACGAATCCCTAAACCCTGAACTCCAAGATCTTTCGCAGTTCAAGGTTTTTCCTTAAAGCATCGGGCCTTCTGGGCCGTGAGAGAGAAGACAGGCCTGCGACTGTTGTGCTCAGGACTCCGTGCTGCTGTCTGATGTGTTGTCAACGTTCAGCATCGCGGGGCGCAGAGGGCTCAGACGGCTGAGCTGTACTTGGAGGTTCATTGGTAGAGAGAGAGAGGGTTCTAAGTACCCTAAATAAGGCTATATGCATAGTTACCCTACTTTTAACCCTAATTACTTATAAGTGCCGCTGAACCTCAAAGTACAGTTGCCCTGGAAGATACTGAGCCTGACTCTGGGTGTCTCAGCTTAGAACTACCCATCAATCTCATTGGCTCGATCTCCTCTCTCTCGCTCTCTCCCACCCACCTGCTCCATCCCTCGGCCACCGTCCATGTACATGCTTCATCGAGCTAGCTGGAGATGCCGGTGTAAACCCACATTGCGGTCATGTGCTGTCTTCAGTGTTTAAGCAAAACCCAATAGACATGCGGCTGTGCTGAACCATGTACATGCATTTTGGTTAGATCTTCCACATGTGACCCTAAGCCTCTAGAAGATGTAGGGCCTTTCTTTTAAGTAAACAGGGGTTGCACAGAGATAAAAGGGGATTGTATCCAGCTGGGGGGAATGATCCCAGCTTCGAGGGTTCTTTTCAACCCGAAACCCTCAACAACCCGAAGCTCCAGACCCGCCTTAAACCCGAAGACCCTAAGTTCTATACAGTACTTGTAAGACTTCGCTGCCGGGCCGCCATGGCAAGCCATCCCCATCTAGCCATCCTGGCACGCCGCAGGTGCGGCAAGGATGGTTGGGGTGGAGTGGGGCGGGGCAGAGGGGTGTGTGTGTGTGTGTGTGTGTGTGTGTGTGTGTGTGTGTGTGTGTGTGTGTGTGTGTTGTCCAGCTTCAGCAATAAAACAAACATCTGGGGCCAAGTGTGCTGAGCTCCGCCCACTTGGGATGGAGGGTGGCGCACGATCCTCGGAGCTGTGTATTTGCACAGAAACACCCGACCCTGAACCCTCAATCCCCGGATCTCTTCAAGGTTTCGGGCTCATGGGCTATAGGCCCAAAGTCGCCACAAGAACCCCCCAGAAAACTAAGCCCTGTGTGCCAGCTTGCGACTGGCCCCACTGCTGCTTGGGATCCTGGCTGCAGAGCTCTGGCGCTGGCTCTGGAAGCGTTGGGCGCGAAGGCGTCTGGCCACAAGATTGGAATCTGTGTTGGAGCTCCGCCCCTCTCTTGTTTTGGGGGTCATCAACAGGGGAGACCCTCTTGTTTTGGGGATCATCATTCAGAACAGGAAAGGCCCTCACTTGACAAAAGATCCAAAATCTGAGGGTGTGGGGTACGTGTCTTTAGGCTTTGGGATTCCAGCTGCCAAAGGGGAAGAAGCCCTCATAACCTACTTAGAGGACTTACTTAGACTTAGGGACCTAGGGAGCTTATAGGTGCAGCTAGCACTGGGCTTAGAAGTACCCTGAGCCTGCAAGTAAGTGGTGTTTGGAGGGCTGCAGGTTGAGCTTCTTTGGCCTCCTGAAGGTCATGTGTCGCTGTGTGTGGTTGCGCCAAGAATCACCTAAGAACAAAGACCATCCCAAAACGGGGGTTGACGAAACTAGGGAACCCTAATGCAGACCCCCGGTGCGTATAAGTGAGGTGCTATGGCTCTTGTCAGTGGTTTGTGTGGTACAAGACCCTCAACCCTAAACCCTGCTGCTCGGAAGCAAACAGCCCTGATCCTCTCTAGAAGGTTGCGGTCATGTTACAGCTGCGCGACTCTGAGGTCGGGAGAGTGCAAGCAGCCTGGCATCAGAAAGGCGTTTGCTTTCGAGAGGTTCGAGGAAAAAGGCACCTTAAACCCTGAACCCGACCCTGAACCCTAGACCACCCTGGAAACAAGGATGGTCTGCAAGAAAAGGACCTACAAGGGTTGTCAGTTTGGCCGAAATAGGCATGAATCTGTACCTTTCAAGCGTGTTGCGTGAGCTGCTGATGGTCCTATTTTGTACCCTACATCAGGCCGTACTCTAACAGGGGCACAAAAATGGCACCCTTACTTTGGGAGAGCTGACCCTCTGACGAGTGTCTGTGAGGGTGCTACGGTGTGCAGATAGAGAGTTAGGCAGCTCTGCCAGCAGCTAGGATTTCCAGTGCTGCACACTTCTTCCTTGCTGGGGGTAGTTCAGCGGTTAAGCCAAAAAGCAATCCCATTTTGTATGTATGGGATCCTACTCTTTCCCCCCCCACTAGTGGAGAATCCACGAGGAGACGGAAGCTCAACCGCCGGCCTATACTAAGTATTATATATCTTTATCTATGTATGATGTAATATGGTAGATAACAAAATATGATACAACATATATTCTATATTATACATTATATATCGTATATCATACAGTACTCACATTAGAATTTGACTTCATATCATTTTCTATTCTATTCTATTCTATTCCATTCCGCAAAAAACATTTTCATATATAAAGACATATAAAATACTTAGTATAGGCCGGCGGTTGAGCTTCCGTCTCCTCGTGGATTCTCCACTAGTGGGGGGGGAAAGAGTAGGATCCCATACATACAAAATGGGATTGCTTTTTGGCTTAACCGCTGAACTACCCCCAGCAAGGAAGAAGTGTGCAGCACTGGAAATCCTAGCTGCTGGCAGAGCTGCCTAACTCTCTATCTGCACACCGTAGCACCCTCACAGACACTCGTCAGAGGGTCAGCTCTCCCAAAGTAAGGGTGCCATTTTTGTGCCCCTGTTAGAGTACGGCCTGATGTAGGGTACAAAATAGGACCATCAGCAGCTCACGCAACACGCAGTGGCATACATCTGGCGTGCAAGTGCCCGGGGGAAGGTTGGGTTTTCAGGTTGAATGATGTAATATGGTAGATAACAAAATATGATACAACATATATTCTATATTATACATTATATAATTATATATCGTATATTATACAGTACTCACATTAGAATTTGACTTCATATCATTTTCTATTCTATTCTATTCTATTCCATTCCGCAAAAAACATTTTACAGGCACCTGGTGGGGAAGCCAGGCAGCAGAGCACTCCAGAGACCAGGCCAGAGTGGGTGTAGGGTTTGAGCTGAGCAAATCGAAAGCGCACTTGAGGGTTTTGGGGAGAGAGAGAGAGAGAGAGAGCCAGAAAGAAAGAAAGGGTTTTCGGGTTTTCGGGTTTAGGGTCTGGGGTTAACCCAGGATCTGTGCATGACTTGGGGCTTGTGTGGGCAAAGCCGTTGGATCCTTCAGCCACATGGCAATTGTGCGACTAACCCGAGCTACAGCAGACAACGCACTTGTGCTTGCCTCTGTGAGTTAGTTCAGTGCCGCGCACCTCTCATGGCCACGGGTACTCAAACGGCTGTGTATGCTGACAACTCAAGTCCGAAACATACGGGGGCCATTATGCAGTAACTATTGCATGCTTGTTGTGTCCGTCGATCGCGCCTCAGAAAAGCCGAAGGTGTAGATGATGACTGCCGCTTTCAGCACATTGAGGACGACCCGCGCTATTTGCCGGGCGCTGCAGTTGGCAAGGCGCAAGAGTACTTGTGTGAGTGAGCGAGTGAGCGAGTGAGTGACTGAGTGACTGAGTGACTGAGTGTCTCTGTTTGTGTCTGTGTTTGTGTCTGTGTGTGTGTCTGTGTGTGTCTGTGTGTGTGTGCGCGCGTGTGAAAGGATCGCCATGTGCATCGCACGAATTTCAACATGTATGACAGATCATGGGGGGCCAAGACTGACAAGGCTTTGTTCGGGGTGGCAGCGGTGGTGCTTGTTGCAGCATCTTCTGCCCATCAGCAGCAACTGGCGCTGAAGGCACAGCGTGCCGCCAAGGGCATTCGAGTGCCTGTCGGAACCAACACGGCGCCTTGGCCTGATGTGGGGCGTGCAGTGATGATATACAACCATCGAAAGATAGTGAGGTACTGTCGTCGTCAGGTCGAGAGGAAGCCTGTGTATTCGGAGCAGGACAGAAAGACTCGTTAACACGGCTGAGAGCTGCGTGAGATGAGGATGAAACTTGCGCTAGCTCTCCTGGGTCATGGGATTGTAAGAGTTGCACGTCGCCCTGCCAGGGGTAGACTTCAAGCACGGCCGATGGCATGCAAGCACAAGTCTAAGAACAGAAGCACTTGGCCTTTAGCAAAGCATCAGGATTGCACAAGCTGAGGCATCATACGATCCAGCATCGACGCTTGTGGAGCTTCCAAGCGGCAGAAGCGGGCGAGTGCCCACATACTCTGACCTACGGGTACAAATAAGTGGGGGGTTATAAGTAGGGCAACTGTGGTTCTCACCTTATTTAGGAGTGCTGAGAACATCTTAGAACCCTACTTGTAAGTGCCTTAATGATCCTCCAAGTAGGCACATACAGACCGGGGTCGCATTGATTTCATACGGCCATGGCGAGAGAATGAGGGTATTTCCCAAAATAGGGGTACCCCTTGTTTCCCAAAATAGAACAGAATCCCCCTTAAAGGGAACCCCAAAAGGGTACCCCTACTTGTATTTTCGGAAACCCCCATGAGGCCTGGGCTACGTTGCATCTGCGGCGTGGCGGGCGAGGAGTTTCAGGGCGCGGTCTGCCCAGAAGATCTCGTTGTGACGCCGGATTTCTTCGGCAAGGCAACGGACACGCAGATGTATGACACCGGGCAGCATGGTTGACCAGAGCGGAGTGTAGGCTTCATGGTTTTAGGGGGGCTTACTTGCAGTGGGTTCCGGGGGCATCCACCCTAAACCCTAAACCCTAAACCCTAAACCCTAAACCCTAAACCCTAAACCCTAAACCCTAAACCCTAAACCCAGTCTAAGGAGAAGCTTCTGGCTGAGATGCAGGACATGCCGGAAGTGCTGAGTGGCAAGGACCAATTCCCGGTGTTCCAGCAAGTGCTGGCCCGCGTACAGGAGCAGCCTTTCTGAACGCATGGCGGGTGCGTTTGCTTCAGGGAAGTGTAGGGCTTAGGGGGGGTGCGAGGGCCCAGCCAGAACAGGAACGGAGGTGAATGTCATGCCACTTTACGGGGCGTGCCCAGGTAGTTAGTTAAAAGAGTTCGAGGTTCAGGATTCAGAGCCAAACCCTAAGATATGAAAAGTCGGAGTGCCCTCATCTTTCAGCCCTCCCGAAAGTACTTCTGTAGCCACGTGAAACCTTACATGTCAGACCCTACCCTACAACTTGATCCACATTTTTTTGTCATCCGGCGGGGTTTCGGGGTTTTGGCAGATCAGCCGTAAGGGTTTGGTTATCTTGACTCTCAAGGCTTGGGCCTGAGGGTGGAGGGTGCTGAGCTTCCTATGGACTTCCGGCCTCGGGTTCGTAAAACATGTGGTCTTGGATTACAAAACATAAAACACTCCCCTTGCGAAAAGGTCAGGTGTTGCAGATGATCTGGCTGAAGGTGTCTGATGAACAGGTTTGGGGGGTGGAGGCTGATGCTTCGGGGGTCAGGGTTGAGGTTTGAGAGGCAAGTTTTGAAACCCCAGGACCCTAAACCCTAAACCCTAAACCCTAAACCCCAAACCCTAAACCCTAAACCCTAAACCCTAAACCCTAAACCCTAAACCCTAAACCCTAAACCCTACACGCCCTAAGACTCTGGCCCAAGACCTCAGCCTAACCCCGAGGCCCAGGCATTTTCTGGCCAAGCCCGAAGCACCTTGAGACAACCTTGATTCCAAGCGCCAGCCAGCAAACTGAGACCCAGGTCAACACCCTGAGCAGTCAAAACAGCATATCTCCAAACTCCAAACCCTAAAGCCAAACCCAGACCATTGATTCCTGGATACCCTGGCTCCTTGTTCCAGGGTACCCAGAGACGGCTTATGAGTTTTTCTGTTGCAAATTCTATTTCCCTAAATATAGAACCTAAACCGAAAACCTAAGCCCCCCCAGCCCACAACACAAGTTAGGTTAAAAGCTTTACTTGGAGGTTCAGGGTACTTGTAACACCAATTTTCGCTGTACTTATAAGCCCCCTGGTCCCCGCAAGTCCTCTAAGTAGGTTAGAGGTAGACTTATAATTTGGTTTATAAGTACCCATGAACCTACAAGTAGTCGCCAACAACCCCAAACCCTAAACCCTAAACCTTGCCTGCTCGTGCGGGGTGCGAAAAACACCCGAAGCTCTAAAAAAAAACCTAAAAGTTGATTAAACCCTAAAACCCTATTAGACCCTATCAAACCCTAACACCCCAAAACCCTAAAGCCCTAAAACCCTAAACCTCAGGTATTTCTCCCTGGACTTGGAGAAGTGCGCCAGCTGCGTCACGTGGCACAAGCTGCCCGGAGAGCCCGCCTTGCACCTTGGAATGCATTTTTTTTGGTTAAGTTTTAGTTGTGTTTTTTTATAAAGGGTTTCAAAAGGGGTTCTTAAAGGGGCTTAGAAGGTTTTTTTAAGAGTTTGCCTTGCACCTTCAAATGCAGCAGGGGCCCTTCTTTCAGTCGGCTGAAGTGGTTTCTTTCATAGGATTTAGGGTGTTGAAGGGGTTTTAAAGGGTTTAACCGGGCTTAAAAGGGTTGAAACCGGCTAAAAAAGTTTCATGGGGAAAGGGGTCATCAGAGGGTGTTAAAGGGGTTTAAATGGATTAGAAGGGTTTCAAGGTGTTTAACGGTGTTGGAGGGTTTCAAGGGTTTAAAGGGCTTTGAGGGTTGAAAGGGTTTTGAAGGTTTAAAAGGGTTTGATTTGAAAGGGTTTGGGATGGTTTTAGGCTGTATGCTTTTGAGGGTTTCGGGCGTGCCAATGGTTGGTGGAGTCTTTGGTCCATGGTTGGTGGAGCCTTTGGTCCCTAGTTGCTGGGGCCTTTTGGTCCTCAGTTGGGCTGGCCTTTTGGCCCCTAATGTTCTCAATAATAATAATACTAATAATAATAATACTAATGAATCCGGCAGCACGATGTCAAGAGCTGTGTGCAGTGCAGTTAGCAGTTGCAGGGCTCCAGTGTTATCATCTTGCCAAAGCTTGCCAGCTCCATGAGCTGCAAATCGGTGGCTGGCATGGCACCTTGCTGGGCTGGCAGCTCTCTCTTTTTCTTTTCGGGGCGGTGACGGTAGAAATACAACAGCTGCTAGCTACCGTTGCCCAAGTGGCCGACCTTGACCAGCAGCCCACCTGTTGCTGTACAGGGCCACCAAGGACCAGCATGGTCGTCTCGCCTTGGTCTTCTTTTTCTTGGCCTGGGGGTCCCGCTCATCCGGCTCGTCCTTCTTTTTGGCTCCTGCGAATTACTAGTAGTATTCCCTTATGGTCCCTATATGACTATACTAGAATAACCCCCAGAATCCTATTCTCTAGTTGTTAACTTTTAGTTCGTGAAGCAAGAGGCGGCAAGCACACGAAGCCGACATGGTTCTGAACCCAGTCTAGAGTCGATCCTCTTGAGGGCATCTTGACAACAAAGGAATAGTCAACGAGGAGGGTCGGACGGAATGCACGGAAAGGGGCGATGTGCGGTTGACGGACGGGGTCGGGGGGGACGAATGGAGGGGCCAGCACAAGCGAGGTCGGCGCGGGGGAGCGTGACATTCGGTTGATGGGCAGGGGAGTGGGGTACGCGTGGACGAGACCCCCCCGCCCCCCCGGCCCCCCCTGCCCCCAAACAAAGAAAAAAGGGGCACCCTTCTCGGTCTGGGCATGTAAGCAGAGCCAAGCGAGGATTGTCAAGGACGCCCTCTTCGACACCATGCAGGGCTCCGGGAAGTTCGAAAGTGTTGTGTGCCTTGGCTTGCCACGCGTTTCATAGGGTTGAGAGTTCATGGGGTTCTCCCCCCAAACATCGCCAGGCCTCAAATCCCTCAACAACTCAGCAAAGGCACGCGGTCTTCGGCGGCTCCTGTGAGCTGCGACTGCAACGGCCAGGGCAGAAGGAGTACTTGGCCATTCCGTGCGTGAATGGTGCCTTTCTGAGTCTTCATACCATTCTTTACATGATTTTTTCTGACATTTTTAAAACAATTTTGCTCTGCTGTTATTTGATTATGCTACTGGATTGTATTTGTATTGATACATGACTAGTATCGGCAGTACCGGGTGAAGGGTTCAAGGGCTTCTGGGTTTGTGGAAGAGGGCTCACCAATGAGGGCGACAGCCTTAGGTGAATCTCCACATACACTGAGGTAAACATGCTGAACCCGAAAGAGAGTAGAGCAAGCAAGGGGTTACCGATTGCGTGGGCAGTATGTGCAAGCACAGCGGCGCGACGACTGTCATACATATATTATATATGTATATATGTGTACACACATATACATATATACATATATATATATATAGACACTTGTTTATTCATATGTATGTATATATATATATATTTTTATATATATATATATATACACCTTTGTACATAGATTTCTATACATCGACTATTGAACCCCAAGCCAGAAGTGCCCTAAACCCTAAAGGATCCCACATCCCAGAAGCCGTGCATGTTGTCGCATAGCCAGTGGTCAAAAAACATCCTTCAAGCTTGTCATTGTATGATTGTATGATGAAATACTTCTATTTTACATTACAATATAGAAAAGCAGACAACAAACGTACATACAGGCATGTGTATATATATATATAGAGCGAGAGATGTATATATATATATATATGAGAGAGGGACCTTTAGGGTCTATTTTGCGTCGTGGCTGTTGTTAGTACTATGAATAATAATTAAATTAATTTAAATAATTAAATTAATTAAATTCAATAAAGAATACTGAATGTGAAAAAATTGAGAAAATAATTTAATTAATTTAATTAATTGAACTGATTGACCAATTAAATTAATTAAATTAATTGAATTCGAAGAAATTAAGAAAATAATTTAATTAATTTAATTAATTTAATTGACCTACAATTAAATTAATTAAATTAATTGAATTCGAAGAAATTGAAAAAATAATGTAATTAATTTAATTAATTTAAGTATTTTAATTAATTTAATTAATTTAATTGTCGGGTAGATTCTTTATTTGATCCTCAGGAAACACCTCAAAAAATAATTCAATTAATTTAATTAATTTAATTAATTTAATTAATTTAATTAATTTAATTAATTTTAATTAATTTTGAAAATTAATTAATAATTAATTTTATTAATTTTTAATTTAATTAATTTAAATTAATTACATTAATTTAATGAACCTACAATTAAATTAATTAAATTAATTGAATTCGAAGAAATTGAAAAAATAATTTAATTAACTTAATTAATTTAATTAATTTAATTCACCTACAATTACATTAATTAAATTAATTGAATTCGAAGAAATTAAAAAATTAATTTAATTAATTTAATTAATTTAATTCACCTACAATTTAATTAATTAAATTAATTAAATTAATTAAATTAATTGAATTATTTTTCGAGGTGTTTCCTGAGGAATGACCCCTTCAATTCCAGACCAATTAAATTAATTAAATTAATTGAATTCGAAGAAATTGAAAAAATAATTTAATTAATTTAATTAATTTAATTAATTTACTTAATTTAATTAATTTAATTAATTTAATTGTCGGATAGATTCTTTATTTGATCCTCAGGAAACACCTCAAAAAATAATTCAATTAATTTAATTAATTTAATTAATTCAATTAATTTAATTAACCTACAATTAAATTAATTAAATTAATTGAATTCGAAGAAATTGAAAAAATAATTTAATTAATTTAATTAATTTAATTCACCTACAATTACATTAATTAAATTAATTGAATTCGAAGAAATTAAAAAATTAATTTAATTAATTCAATTAATTTAATTAATTTAATTCACCTACAATTAAATTAATTAAATTAATTAAATTAAATAAATTAATTAAATTAATTGAATTATTTTTCGAGGTGTTTCCTGAGGAGTGACCCCTTCAATTCCAGACCAATTAAATTAATTAAATTCATTGAATTCGAAGAAATTGAAAAAATAATTTAATTAATTTAATTTATTTAATTAATTTAATTGTCGGATAGATTCTTTATTTGATCCTCAGGAAACACCTCAAAAAATAATTCAATTAATTTAATTAATTTAATAAATTTAATCAATTTAAAAAACCTACAATTAAATTAATTAAATTAATTGAATTCGAAGAAATTGAAAAAATAATTTAATTAATTTAATTAATTTAATTCACCTACAATTAAATTAATTAAATTAATTGAATTCGAAGAAATAAAAAATAATTTAATTAATTTAATTAATTTAATTAATTTAATTCACCTTTAATTAAATTAATTAAATTAATTACATTACTTAAATTAATTAAATTAATTAAATTAATTAAATTAATTGAATTATTTTTTCGAGGTGTTTCCTGTGGAGTGACCCCTTTAATTCCAGACCAATTAAATTAATTAAATTAATTGAATTCTAAGAAATTGAAAAGAAATAATTTAATTAATTTAATTAATTTAATTAATTTAATTAATTTAATTAATTTAATTAATTTAATTAATTTAATTAATTTAATTAATTTAATTGTCGGATAGATTCTTTATTTGATCCTCAGGAAACACCTCAAAAAATAATTCAATCAATTTAATTAATTTAATTAATGTAATTAATTTAATTAATTTAGTTAACCTACAATTAAATTAATTAAATTAATTGAATTCGAAGAAATTGAAAAAATAATTTAATTAATTTAATTAATTTAATTGGTCGATCAATTAAATTAATTAAATTAATTGAATTCGAAGAAATTGAAAAAATAATTAAATTAATTAAATTAATTTAATTAATTTAATTAACCTACAATTAAATTAATTAAATTAATTAAATTATTTAAATTAATTGAATTATTTTTCGAGGTGTTTCCTGAGGAGTGACCCCTTCAATTCCAGACCAATTAAACTAATTAAATTAATTGAATTCGAAGAAATTGAAAAAATAATTTAATTAATTTAATTAATTTAATTAATTTAATTGTCGGATAGATTCTTTATTTGATCCTCAGGAAACACCTCAAAAAATA